TTGTTAAGATCTGAAGAAAAAAACATAAATATTCGTTCTTCACAAGATAAACACACAGTAATCGGAAAATGTTTCGCGTGATGAGCAATTTTTTTATTCTGAGAGAAAATTTGTATCAGCTTTACGCTCATATTTTGTGGTATTATTTTGAGAACTGCCAGTTGAATTGGTGAATTGTGCAGAAATTACTTTATTTTTCTCAAACCTATTTTTAACAATGGAAGTAGTAACTACATCTTCATTTACTTTATGTATTTTATAACTTTCAATAGAGCCTTTTATCTTAAATCTCGAAGAATTTACTTCTTCTTTAAAAAATGCAAGAAGTGGATTCCATCGATTCAGGATTCTAGATAAGCATTTCTTTAAAGACAGCCAGCATGTACACACGTTTCAAAATTTTTCTCATTTCAGTATTATGCAGCTGTTGGAACTGTTTCAATTTTTCTTTCCTTTTAGAACTCCTTTCAAGATAATAATAAATATCAACAATGTGTTTATCCACATTTATTGTTAAAGAAGCTACCCCTTTTTTAACAGCTAAATTTAAGAGGTGACAGGTGCACCTTATAATCTGCAAATCTGAATTTTCCTTTCTTAAGATGACTGCAATACCAATCTTCAAGCCTACCATTACTGGTGCATTATCATCACCAAGTGCTAAGCAATTATCCAGAGGGACTGCATTTTCTTTTAAAGTTTTAATAATTAGCTGTGCTATATTAAAGCCTGTCGAATGTCCTTCTAAAGTTGGGACAGAAAGTAAACTGCACTCAATTTCTGAAGACTCTAGATTAAAAAAAGAAACAACAATTGGATACAGTTTTGAAATGGTATCATTGCTTCCATCCGTAGAGAGGCAGAATAAAGCTGTTTTAATGCAATCAGTAACTGAAGATTAATTTTTCAAACCCACGTTTTTAACAATTGCACCTGTTTTGGTCCTTGCACTTGAGTATTTCTTAGCGATTTCACTATCGGGAAACATTTTTCTAAATAAAGCTGCAGGTTGATCCGATGCATTCAGTAGCAGGTTGTGCTCCAGTAAAAAAGCAGAGAACATACATTGTGCATTAATAACTTTTTGATTATTTGTTTCTGAAGAAAAATTTAATTTTTCATTTTTTTCAAAACAATTTATGCTGTTTTTGTGTTTTTGTGTACGCACATGTTTGAGAACATCCGCCCTTCCACCATGCAAAATCGAAAAATCGCAATGACAGACGTTACACACTGCAAATTTATTACATTTCATTGAGGAAGTAATGGAAGGAAAGTCAAATAAGTACGATTTTTGAAATGTACACGAGTATTTCACCTTTCTCGCAGACATAACAAGATGATAATTTCTAAAACTATTTCCCGAAGGCACGTGTACTCACACAACTCAGGGCAAGATGAATGAAATAACTAAAAAACATCCAATTAACAGCTTTAAGCTTGCTTTGTGCTCATTAGCTAATATATATCAGATGACATGCAGTGGAGCTCGATGCCCATTGGAGAACTGGAGAACGACGTTTCTGGATACGTATATGCTTTCACTCGCAAAGCAGAAGTTCTTATCTGATTCACAAGGTTTTGTTTTAGATATAATCTAGATAAAATTCAATTGCTTTCAGACGTTCAAAATCACTTTTTTTTTTTTTTTGTTGTTGTTGTTGTTTTTATAACTAAGTATTAAGCCAAGTTCCATAAAAATCGTGAGAAATTTTAAGAAGAAAAAGTCGGGAGAAATATATTGTAAATCGGGTTGGCGGAAGAGCTGTCGAAAATCGGGAGTCACCCGCCTAAATCAGGAGAGTTGGCACCTCTGCAACTCCCTTGATCTTAAATATCAAATAGAATTATGCGACCTGCAGGCTGACCCATTTTTTACATCTCATGGAGTAACTGGAATAGAAATATTCAAATTTTTAGATAAAGAGAAATATCCAAAATTGAGAGATTCTGGACTTTAAATTGTATCAATGTTCGGAAGTACATATATCTGTGAGCGTGCATACTCCGATATGAAATATATAAAGTCAAAATATAGAAAGTTTGAAAGATTCCACTCTTGAAGATATAATTAGACTTTCCACAACAAATATTTATGTGGATATAAATGATATTGTTGCTAAACAATTACGCCCACAATGTTCTCATTAATATATTACGAATATTTTAAAGTTTTCTTTTTAGTATAAATAAAATATTTTTTTAATCAACATAAACTGACATTTCATTTATCAACCTCCTTGGCCCCCGAAATGTTTGGTGAAGAAAATATGGCCCGCGGGCTATGATAAGTTCGACAGCGCTGATGTTAGCAATCTCAGTATAAAACTGCCAACTACTCATCTAAAATCAGTCTTTAAGTTACCTTCTTTATAATAAATGGCAATTAAACTGGGACAATGAAATTACAGGCAGAAGGGATTTAAATTTCATATAAAAAAAATCAATGTAGCTGTGTTATAAATGGCATCCCAGAGCTCACCAGTTCTTCACTGCATGATATATTTATTAGTTATTACAATCAGCTTGGTTTCACAGAAAGTGACATTTGCATGTGTGGTAAGATTGGACACCTTGACCATTATGCATTTGAGTTACCCCAAAGTACCATCTCTGGAAGGTAACAGCTGAGAGTGTCATGCTAATATTTGAAAAACACGGGCATGCAACATACTGCATTAAGGCCTGTACTTCCCATGCTCTCACTGTCACAAGGAAATTAGACTGATTTGTAAATAACATCAGCTACACTAGCTCTAGACCACTTGTGGCTTTAGCAACATGCTTTAATCAATTAACTTTAATGTTCCCAATAACATAACATCAGTATATTTTTCATTTAGCAACAATATGTTCTGTAACTAATTAAGCACCATATAAATACCTTCAGTTGCACGAAGATATTATACATAATTATTTCATTCTGTTTCTTTGCATACTGCATCATGTGTAATAGCTCATTTTTACCTTAACAGTTTCGGCATTTATTCTCCGTGTTGCAATTAATATACAAATGTTATCTGAGGATTTGAGTCTGCTATTTCATACATTTTGTCTTGCTTCTGTATTTGCATATTATAAATGCAACATGTATCCAAGCACATTCTTGCAAAACCTTATTTAATACATAATTCTTACTTCATAAATGACTGTGATGCATAAATATTTATAATGATTTAATTTATATCTGTATATACACCTTGGCTTTATTCTATTTGTAAACCTAACATGCACTGTAATAGTGAAAAATATATAAAACAGATATTGCACGAGTAGAATTGTGTAACATATTGCACTACATATAACATATTGAACTGTGTAACAATTTGTAAAGTTTATTATAATATGTAGCATCTGATTTTTTTTAAGTTATCATAACTGTTCACATTCATTAAGATTGTATTTAACAAGCAACACTGTATGCAATGTGTTTTTCATTAGTTAGAGATAAGCAATTTACAGTAGGTAGCAGCATCATATCAGTACTCAACATAAGATGTCATCAGCATTTTTCACTTAATTTTAATAGCAATGTGTTTACCATGTACTTTACTTTCTGGTTTCAGTCCTTTTTTTACTTTTCCTCACATTACATTGCAAGTCCCAAAGGACACAGTATTTAGCTCTTATTTGTTTATTTCATTAACACACTCATAAGCCCCTTACTCAGTGGACCCTTTCATTAGTTCTATTGCTAGCAAAAACACAAAAAGTTAAGAAACTATTAAATTAATTTAGAGACCTATTTATAAATTGGTGTATGTTTAGCGATATTTAAATTATAAATATTAATGAAAAAGTAACTGCAAATCATACACTAGCCTACTTTCGTTTTACTGCAGGCATCACTGTTTAACCATAACAATGGCCTGTTTTCTAAAATTCTGAGCTATACTGCTATTTGATCTTTACGATTATTTAGGCTTTCCTGGCAGAGAAAAAAGCTCCATTGCCATAAATATTTCTTAAAATCCTGCCTTTATCATCAGCTTCCAGTAATCAAATCTCCAGGTGGTATCTTTACATTTTTAATTTGCCATTTCCTGGCTTATTTACATGAATGGCTTTGAAAGAGCTGAATGAATGGGCTTGTAATTTTTGTGCAGAGCATGTGAATTTTAGAAATTCCATGGAACAGTCATTCTTGAAATCAAGGATAAATTAAAATTGACACATACAATTCCTAAACTGCATAACTGGGGGCAATAGCAAGGGGGGAATACATGAATGAATTTATACTACAGCAGAAATAACGTGTCTTTAATTTTACTGCACTAAAAAATTCATATTAATTTTTAATTTTTGAAGTTTACTTTTAGATGTGTTAGTTTACATATTTTCATTCACCATAAAAAAATTTCATTTTTTAGTCTTGTCAAAATTTATTTTATTTTCAAGAAAATATATGATTCCCTATTTGATTAAAATAAACATAAATTTATCATACAAAAAATCCTAGCTTTCAAAAATTAAGATGGGCTGTGGCTACAAGTTAAAACATGGCAACGAGTCATCCATCCTCATTAGTATAAAAATGCTAGGGGAAGATGTATGGGGTCTGCAAAGCCATTCAACACTTGCAAATTTTAAAGAGTCTGAATTTTTTAATCTAATGCAAAGGAGCTCTTTTGTCCTAGTAGTACAGGATTCCACTCCCATGACATGGACTTAAGTTCTGCTTCCAAGACCAAGTGGCCTCTCACATTGCACTTCTGGTCCGACCCATAGATGTTGCTACAAACAACACTCTGCTAAAACATTAAAGTGTTGAACAACAGAGAGCCATACATAAACCATAGTATCGCAGCCCCCCACCGTATTATCAGAGCCATTATACTACTACCTAAATCAGTCAAACAGAATAACTGTATCAATTTTAAATACAGGAAACAAAACACAAAAATATAGCCCAGAATTTAAAATCATAAGTCCAGCAATATTTCAGAAATCAATGAAAATTTAATTTTATAACCAACAAAGCAATTATTCTGAGAGCTTACCGAATGAAACTGCAATCCTTTTGAATGATGTATTAAAAGACTAGTTCGCATCAAACACATATTATCAGTCCTGCCTGGCATTTCATTAGCTATTTTTGACCATTTACCTAAAAAGAAATACAAAGCATTTTCTAAAACTATGTGCATAATAATGAAAGGAAAAAAAAAATTACAAGCAAAAAGTATAAATAAACGGTCATTTAAATTAACATAACGGAAGATCATATAATTTTAATATATCCTGATTTCTGAATAAAAGCCAGTCCTTAAAATAAAATATTTATATACTAACAATTACAAATATTTTGGTTTTCATTTACAATAATTAATCACTAAAGATACTATACAATGAACAGAACCTGGGTGTAAGCACATGTACATATATATAACATAAAAATAAAGTAATTGAAATTAGGATTTTAAATAATAAAGTTTAGCACTTAGGGAGTTTACACTGAAAATTTAAATTTAAAATATATATGCATAAACACATACAACTTAAAATTTTATTAATTAAATTACTATGCATAAGAAAATCACTGAAAAAAAATTCAGCTGAAAAAGAAACTCTCTTATAAATTTAACTGAGAAAATAGATTAAATTATAACAGACATAAGGTTTCTTATATGCTCATTTCCTGAATAATTTGCTTTACACTACAGCAGGGGTCTCAAACTGATGACTTGTGGGCTTCATGCAACCCCTGAAGTAATTTTATGCGGCCTACTAATACATGCATATGTTTTAACAGTGCTTTAAATTTCAATATAAGACGAATTTACTGTGCAACGGGTTGCAATAGTGTTCATTAAGAAAGCAAGTGCTAACAAACATTTCAGCAACCAATTGCAACGGAGTTTAATGCTGGCAGAGAGCCAAACGTGCATATGTAATGCATATAATATCACTGCGACAGATCCACAAAAAGAAGCTGAGGAAAAAGGATATTAATTGTTGCATCTCAAAAATGAAAATTTAAAATTTTAGTATAAACAGCATTAGACACATATGGATTGTGTTTATATGCACGATTGCTAATGAATGAAAAAGAACCAGAATGAATAAATTTACAATGTAAGTTAAATGAAAAAATTAGACTTTGTATGCTTAGGTAGGAAGTCAGTACAATCAATAAATTTATTCGCTAGCCGACAGTAGGTAGAACTTTTATACTCTGGCCTGCCTGTTCTCCCCCCCCACACACACACACACAATGATCTGGTACTTTCCTTGAGTCAATCACTAGCTTCACCAACTAGCAAACTAGTGACTGACTAAGCTTAAGATGGATGTACAGCTATGCAATTCATATTGCTGGAGACAAACTAAATGTTTGAGAGTTGCTTTCACATGAAAACTCTATTTGAATTTTAAAGTTGTAAACAAAATTATAATTGTGATTTTAACTAAGAGGTGAAACTGAAAGCCATGTTTTTAACAAAGGGTAAAATAAAAGAGATAGAAAGGCATGTGTTTCAAAACAAGCAAGAAATTATGTCCTTTTTTGGTGTTGTGCACAACATAATAGCATGTTTTATTTGTAATAACAGAAAATCAGTTCTAAAAGAATATAGCTTATGTCACCATTATAAGACAAACATATAAAGAAATATTTCAAATGATGGAAATGTTTAATTAAATCTGCTGAACGAACTTCCCTGAAAAACAACCATTAGTTAAAAATATTAGTTTGTCGGCCAATACAGTAGCGGAACATATTAACAAAATAACTAATGATTTACAATGTCAGTTAAATGAAAAAATTATATATTTTGCTGAATTCTCAATAGTACGTAATAACAGTACTGATATCGCAGACATAGTATATGTTGCCATTTTCGTATGAGGTATTACTAGTTGAGGAATTACTGGAAATAATTACTATGAAAGGAAAAATTGATGAACAGAGCATTCTGAAGTAAAAACTGTAATAAATGAATATAAATTAAGTTGGGATGGCTGAACTTGCAAGTGATGGTGGAGCTGCTATGGTTGGTGTAAAAACAAAATGTGGGGTTAAAATTATGAAATTTAGTGAAAAGAAAATTTTCAGAATACATTTTGCGCTATACACTGCATTATTCACGAAGAAGTACTCTGTCCAAAAGTTTGCAAATGGGTGATATTGGAATGGTAATTAAAACAGCAAACTTTATCCATGGACTTTATCCTTTTTTACATTAAAAAGAAAGTATTTAATGTTTACTTCAACATATGAGAATTATTTGAAATAAATGTCAACCCCAAAATTTAATATTTAGCTGCTACTAGATTTGAATCAAGAAATGTAGCCAACAGAAATTTGTTACATATAGGAAAAAAAAGCACAACAAACTTGAGTGTTTTCTTTCGCATTATTATTATTGTTCATTTATGTTTTAATAAATATTTAGAAAGTGAAACTTGAAATTAAGTTAGAAATTTTGTTTAAAAGAAAAAAGGGCGGTCCAGGTTGTGAATGTAGCCTGCCAGCTACTTCAGGTCATGTATGTAGCCTGCCAGCTCCTTCAGATCATGCATATGGCCAGCATGCAATTTGCAACCACTACACTTTTAATTTTTTAAATAAATTTAATACGTAAGTATCCTGCAAAATAGATATTAAAAAAGACAAGGAAGAAAATTTTGATTACAAAGAAAAAATACAAAAGAATATTTTTTATGCAGAGTGGGAAAATACAGTAAATTTGTTCTAGGATAATACAAGAGGATATTCAAACTATCCTCTTGTATTAACCTACATAATACATGACATTAAATATATTTTATATAAACTAATCATTTAAACATTCACTGATCATCAAAATTAAGAGAAAATGAGAAAAAATATGCTTACTAGGTTAATGTTGCAACTAATGCCAAATGCTGTAATTATTTATGTTAATTAAATATAATTGAATGTAAGACTGCACTTCTGCGCATACATTAGCAATGAAAATATGAAAATTTGATGACTGACAATGTTGCGCGCAATGGGCACATGTTGGAATTCTGGTCCGTAGTATTGTTTAAAGTGAATGTGGTTTCTGAGAGTGGTCAGTATTCTGTAGTTATCACTCAAAGACATCATTTAAGTGAGGTCAAATGCGGTGAATAATTGGTAGAATCAAGGAGGTCAAACACAAATGGAGGTCGCCCAAGATTTGAATATCCCTCAAAGTGTCATATCAAGAGTTTGATATGACACTTTGAGGGACACCTTTTTAAGCACTGGCTCAGTTAACAGACAGCCTCGTCAAGGGCGACCAAGAGCAACAACTGCATCAGAAGACCATTTTCTGTCATTGTCAGATCACAGAAACCATGAAGTGATTACAAGAGATTTGGTTTTAGATCTTCAGACTGCCACAGGAACTCAAATCAGCCATTCTACTACCTACTCATTCCAGCTTCCAGAAGGGCCCATTTAAACTGGTGCTGTACATGTTCAATAGAGCCAAGATGGTTGGACCCGAGCACTGTTTACTGACATGTCCAGATATGGTCTGAATAGTGATTCTAGACATGCTTTAATCTGGAGAGAGGGAAAAACATGCAACTTGCCTTCTCTTGTCAGTGAAATATCCTGTTTCTGCAACCATGGCTTAATGGTTTGGGAAGGAATCATGATAAATAGCTGCACCAAGCTGTAATCTTTCAAGGAGCTTCTGTAACCGCTCAGAGGTATATGCATTAGGTAGTGGAACCCCAAGTTAGACTGTTTAAGAATGCTGTTCATCCAGTGTTTTTGCTTATGGATTACAATGCTCAGCCTCGTCGAGCATATGCGTTGTCAGAATACCTGCAAACAGAAGATAACAGTCGAATGGATTGGTCAACTTACTCACCCAACTTTAATTTGACTCAGCATGTGTTGGATGCCTCAGGATGCCAAATTCCTCTCCAGATGCTCCAGCAGCTGAAAAGTGCACTTTTAGAAGAGTGGTGCGGAATTCTACAAGACTTGATCAACACTCTGGTCAAGTCTGTGAAATCAAGATGTGCATTCTGAGGTGACTGTGCACCATATTGAAGAAAACAATTTTCTTACAAGAGGTGACTTTTCCATCATTTTCCAATTTCCATAAATTTGGTTTTAATTTCAATATTTTGTGAATAACTGTCAAACATTCTAATTTATGTTAACTTAAGTTTTTGTACAAATTTCTATTAGTCATCTTTCATTAAGTATCAGTCACATTTTATTTCTGTCATTATTCTTTAATTTTGAAGACCAGTGTGTATAAAAAATTAGATATATTAAATAAAATATATTTTTCAAAAATACAATAAAGATAATTATTCAGAAGTACATATAATGTTTTCAAATTGCTCAGTTTCTTTAAATATGAAATATAATTTATAATTTCAGAGAAAAATCCACTATCTTTAATGTTACGAATGGCAACAACTCTCAGCAATGGTAATTTGTCAAATGTACAGAAGCGATGATAGCTTGATAAAACTTATTTTTCTGAAACAGTTCTGAACTATCCACTAAAGTATTCGTACAGCTCTTCTCAATGTGGACACAGCACAACCAGTAGTTACCACTTCAAACTACTAACATTAAACACAACATAATGTAATCGCCCAGACAATATAATGGTTACGAGAGCCTACTACAGTACTGACAGGCCCAAGTTTGAATCCTGGGTAAGACATGCATGTTTGTAAATATATAGTGTCAGGGCAGCATGACAGCTCTCTACATATGTGGTGAGCCAAAAGTCCTGTCTTGTAGACTATTTGGAGAGGAGAGGGGTGGGTGACCCCCGGATCCTCTTCCTCAAAATTGGGGTGGAAATACTCCAAAGTCAGCTCTGAACTAAAAACTGACAAATTATGTTCTCTACGGTCTTATGTAGTTCCCCCCAGCTGTGAAGATATTTTCAATATCTTCCATTTCTCAAAATTACTGGAAGGCATGTATGGTTGAATTTACATATAAGAGCCAGTTATGATTACACTTGCATAAAGGGATCATTTACAGTTGTTCAATTGCAATATCAATTACCATTATTCAGGCACTGGACCATAATGTCACCAAATGGTTGCTAAGTTTGGCAACTTTTGTTGATTTCTCACCAGATCTGACAATAAAAATTAGTTGCCAAAACCATCGGCAGCTTGACGATATCTCACCAATTTAGAAGACAGCCTCAATATTAATCAGACTTGCCCCTGTAATATTATTTTTCCGGCAGAGCTTCGTGTTTCTTAAAGCCATTCATGTTACTTTGTAAAATTCATAACAATATTTTACTGTAGAAAGACTGGAAAAAACTAGCAAATTTCTGACAGCACATTTATTATGAATAACTCTTCTTTTTGCACCTACAATTTTTTAGCTAAGAAAAATTCAACCTACTTGGGCACTGAAAACTACAACACATAATAACATAAAAAAGAAGAAATACAAAATTTTAAATAATTTTACCATAACCAATTTCTTTAACTAATCTAATAAGTTTCTGATCTTCTTCTTTAGACCAATCACCAATTTTTAATTCAGGGTCTAGATTATTAAAATACCTGCAATAATAATTTTGTACATTTATTAATAGAAATTTTTACAAATAATTAACACACTTGAACAGTTTACAAATCTTAGCCCTTAGTTAAAATTAAGTGAACATTATTTCCCAGCAAATGAAATCATTCTCATAAACATAACAGTCAAAAGCAGCTAATACAAATATTTGCAGAGATTGTGCAAAATTATATTTTAAAAAAAAATTCCATCTTTATACACACATACAATCTTGCTACACTTCTGTCTTTATTTTTCCAACTTTCCAATAAACAATAGATTCTTTAGCTTTCATACACTTTCTGTAATACATATATACCATCACAACTAAAGAAAATTTAAATAAGTAGCTTGAATTATATATTAAAAATTGCTTTATTATAACATGGACCATCTGAATTAACAATTTTTACAAGAAAGATACCATAGTTAGGAAATTCCCAATTGCTGCTATTAAATCAGAACAATCTAGTGCATATAGCAAGCCTAAAAAAATAATATAAAAAGCAATGCCTATCCTTCAGCAGTTAATAGCTGTTTCAAAATGAATATAAAATTCCTACACAAAGTACAAAAGAAATTTATAAAATACTGATTAGTTAAAATTACATATTGAATATTATATCAATTTATCCATATCATTATCAAAGCTCCATTTAGGAATAATTTAGTATAACAGTTAATAATTAAAGATGTCACACAGCAAGCACAAATGGTTACACAGTCACAGGCTCCTGAAAAAGTTCTGTTCTCAGATCATTAACTCCAAAATAGGTTCACAGATGATTCAAATCCACAGAATGGCCATATTGAACCCATCCCTGAACTTCACTCAATACAAAACAGTTGCAACTGAAGATAATCATAACTAATCAAAAGACTAAGCCACTGATATGAGTTTTAAAAGATTTTTAGAATAAGAATCAGTAACAGAGGAGGATCACATTTTTTCCCATTATACTTAGCAGCTAGAGAATTTGACAATACCCTGTTAATAAGGAAGTAAACAGTTTTAAATTTATTTCTAAGCTGATTTGGTTTGCTCCTTGCCTTTGCTGATTTACTAGCTCTTGCAATCCCAGAAATATCACAGCAGCCGAGAATGCACTGTAACAAAAAATTTCATCCTCTAGTTTGCAGAATGTAAATGAACATTCTGAATTTTTCTTTATAAAAAAAAAAAAAAAGATTAGGTTTAAAAAAATCCATTAGGGGAATTATTAAATACTATTATTTCATGAGATATTGGTCTATGTTTCGTGTTTCGATTTTATCATTAAAGCTCTTTTTCCAAAGAGAACACAGAGTATTCCATTGCAGAGAGAGTTCTAAGCTGTGTAATGATACACAGAACAGTTCTAACTTAGGGAAACTTGCATTGTTTCAATAACAACCAGCTTCATAAGCGAAGATCAATGTCCACTTCTTTCTGAAAAATGCAACAGCAAGATCTAGAAATGTAATAAGTAGCTCTAAATGCTTACGATGATACTCTTGTCTATTCTACAGGTACATTCTATGAAGAAATATCTTCCATGAATAGAAACAAAATCAGTGTTGGAACAAACATAAATATAGTTCAAATTTTCAAAAGTTATATTCTGCTAATATCAAATCCATCCATGCACAAGTCAAACACACTATAAAATACAAAAATGAGGCATCCTTTAAAACACAGTGGTACCTCCAATTATGAACCACTTAACACGCAAACTTTCGACACAAAATCTTTGTTTGTCCATTCCTGGCCCCTAATATACAAACTTCTTTGAACTTTCTTTTGGCCTTAGATTTGAAATCATTCTCTCAAGGTATGAATCAAGGTAGAATATTTTTTAAATCACAATTCATAATTTTTAATATTATAATATGGATTTAAAAAATATTCTTTATAAATTACAAAAAACACATCTTGCACATTTCTTGCAAACACATGTGTATGTGTGCAACATTCAATGTTTGTTCTTCACAGAATTTAAAAATCTATAACAAACCTTGGCAACCTAAGACCCATAGGTCACCGAGTGATTTATTTCTTAATTTCAAGCAACCCACTTCATTTCAGAAAATAAAGCACAATATATAAAAATAAATTATAAAATATAAAGATGAAATGAGCACTTGAAAATAAAAAAATAAACTGAAAATAAGTAATGACTTTTTTGTTTGATTAAAAAGTCACAATAATGAATATTCATTTTTATTTTAGAAAAATAAAAACTGTAATAATTTCAAGAAATCAATAAGTTTGGCAATGCCGATCCATAATTCCAAAAAAATTGCTTTACCATTCAGTTCAACTTGCGAATGAGAACAAATATTTTCCACACACGCAATTTATTTGAAGAACAGGAGCAGCTTACTATGGAAAATTCAGACGCTTCAATTCGTCTTAAGGTGATTAGCCAGAATTGAATAATTAATTGATGTCACAAGCTCAGCAAAGGAGCCATCGACATAAAAGGGAAAAAGTTCATTCAGTTATGTTTATTTTTATAATAATTAGAAATATTAATTTTTATTTTAAAGCATATGGATATCAACATCTGATCCATAAAAATTGCTAACTAAATAAAATTCCTTGTTAAATAATTTTCACATTCGAAAATGCTAAAATCTGAATTCACAGTGATTGGTTCCATTTGCCTTGCTTTTATTTTGCAGTTCAGACTTACAGCAAATTTCTGCTCATGGAAATTAAATAATTTAAGGACTTCTATGGACGATCTATGAAAAAAATTAAGCCCCTATCAGCAATAGAATCTGAATAGGAATAAATATAAATAGAAAACTGAATAACTAAAGCAATTATATAAACCCAAACTGCACTTTTGTAATTCGTAGAATAAAATAAATCTGCAAGTAGGATGCATTATTACTAAACATAATCTAATATTTAACTTAATTATAAAACAAAGTCAAGAATAAAATCAACTTAATAATCTTTTCACATAATTAGCACTAAATTATAACATTTCTTGAAATATTTATATTTTAATAACAGTCCCACACATTTTTAAAAAGATTAGCGACTTTTCTTTTCATTTTACTACCAGTTAGCTTTATACTGATTCTTTCTTTTATGCTTCATTTCAACATATACCCGCTCAGTCCAAAGGTGTGTGCAGATTTTATGTCTGGCATAAGAGTAAAACAGGGAGTAAAATTGAGGAGCAAAATAATAATCAGCATGACTCATAACATAAGCTTGGCTGTTGCCTGCGCAGCTACTTCTTAGAGACAGAAAGCCACTGAGCAGAACAGTTGTGAACGCCTGACATTGATACAGCTGATCAGTGTTGAAAGTTAACTGCACTTTGTTTGACCCAATTAGTGTCATAGCTTCATGCATATGTGCTTGAGTTATAACCCATTAATATAAAATTCTAATAAACTGAAGCACCACAGGTGATATGCTGTTTTGTATTTTTTAAGAGTTATTAGTTGTAAGGAATAAAGTTTCATGTTAATTTTTACATTTTGTGTTGTATCTTACATCCATAATAAGAAAGGTGATAACTCACCTTAACAGGTAGAAATGACTTTTCAGGGTGACCAGTTTCTTACAAATAATTAATTTACATAGTTAGATATCCTCAGTCATAACAGATTTATGTAGTTACAATTAATTTATTTATTTCTAAAAAATATCCATTAAAAAGCACTAAGAACATTTTACAGCAGTTAATGACATTGATTCTAAAATGATATTAGTATAGTTGTACATTAAAGGGTACAAAACATGTAAGTTTTGTAGCAACAACAATGAATAAAATATTGAGGGGTTTTTTAAACTTGGAAATTTTCCATTTATTTTAGCTAATTTACATAAATTTCCATCCTAACTGTAGAATTTTCACTATTGTTTCAATAAACAAATCAATGTTCTCACCAGTCTTTGCTTCATCTCTTATTCTGTTAAAGTTTCAGCAATGTATTTTGAAGTATACTTTTCTCTCTTTTATAAAATTAATTTCTTCTTCAATACGTTTCCTCTTCACTTTAGAATTTTCAGATTTAATCTGAGATTTCTGTTATTCCAAAGAACTGCTAATTTTATTTCTTTAACAATATTAGTATTGAGAATAAATATGAAATCATATAATGCCAGGGTAGGTTCAAAAGCCACTGTAGCAGAATTTTAAAAATTTAGTGAAGCACTGAGCAAAAAATTAGAGGGATGGCAAAATCTTTAGAATTTAGGATAGGTGCTGCGCTGAGACATACAAAATGAATCTTTTAACAAATTGTCAGTTTTCTACTTCTTGGCTTGCTTCAAAGCTTGTGTCTAGTGTAAAGGTAAGAAACTAAAGGGAAGATAAAAATGTGAAAGGCTTCTGGGATCAAAAAGAGGAAATTCGAATAATTTTGTCTTCAGTGTTCTTCCAAATATTCTCCAAAAGATAAGAAGTTTATCACAAATTCCCATAAAACACATCCATTACATATTAATACCATGAAGACATTTTTCATTTCATTGCATTTTATGTGGGATTGTAGCTGTACAATCCCACTTTAAAAGGCCTTTAACCTTCCAAGGTGCAAGGTCTAAAATCCTTACCAACATGCAAAAAGCCAGAAGATTTTTGAAAAGAAAAGTTAAAGTGAATAATTCTCCAGAGAAAACTGATACATATTTAAATATTCTGACAGAATTACTTGGGAAAAAACTCCTATCATGAAAAAATATAAAAGATGACATACAAAATTAATCTGGAACTCAGTAGCTTTTATCCCTCCTAAAACATTTTTTTCCTGCTTTATATTTATAGCATTTATTATTTTGTTTATTTTTCAGAAACAAAATATCAGAAAGTGAAAATGGAAAGTAATGCCAATTTAAAACAGGGCATGAGAAAATACCAATGTTTTATTTTAAAATTATTTTAATATATTTTATAATATATATCATTATTTTCATGATAATTATCAATGTTATCATTATTTTAATATATTTTATAATATATATCAGTATTTTCATGATAATTATCAATGTTATCATATTTCTAAAAAAATCTTCCAAAAATTCAGGAATCTCCAAATAAAAGATTTTGGACCTTGAAATTGCCAAAATGTTGAAAAGTCGACAAATTTAGTGCTGCATAATAAAAGAAACAATTTCAAAAAGGAAAATTTTTTTCAAGTAATAATTTATTAACTCTTCATTCACAAAAAACAAATAATTTTGAAATCTTTATGTTTCAGTTGTTATGTCGTGAATTTTAATTATTAATATGTGTTTTAAGTTATCATTATTCTGGTATTTTTATTTATATTCATGCATATTTTAATCCAGCAAATAAGTTGTTAAATAAGCAATCTTAAGTTGTTAAAGCTTTATTTAACTCATTACAGGGTTGCCACTCAAACAGGAGAATGAAATTCCCTGACTTTTCCAGGTTTTCCAGGTGTGTTTCAAGAAAATTCCAGTCTATTCGCGTAATGTACTTTGGCTACGCTAAGAGGTAAATTAATTATGGTATTATTTGTATTGTGTAGCAAATTCACTTAATTATTCAATAAATCCCAAAGGACATTTATTCTTAATTATTCTTGGTATACTTTGTTTGATAATTTTGTTTACTTTTCCACTTAAGAAACTTAATAAAATTTAAGATATATAAATTTGGATAACAAATGTATGTTTTTTATTTAATTATTACTCATGATCATCACCAGTTCAACACGAGGCTAATCCGGTCCTTATAAATCACAACGCAATGCTAAATAGTTAGGTTAGATTTTAGGTAAATTTAATTTGTGTGAGGTATGTTCTTAAAAAGCACCTTAACACTTGAAAACACAAATATAATTATAATAGTTGTTGTTTTCTCCATTGAAGATTGAGATTAGAATCTTCCCAATCTGGAATAAAATAAGGCTTTTTTTTTTTTTTTGGCAGACATTCTGCAGCTAAACGAAAGAAAGAAATCTATTTTAATAAATTGAGGTATTTTATATTTATTTTCGCAGCATACATAAGGAAAAAATATGTGCATTAAATTTCGTGATGGTATGTCATCATACTGCTAGAATTAATTTCAAGATTATGCCAGAGAAAATTTCCTGAAATTTGGAAATATTATTTACTAATAATAAATAAATTTAGAGGGAAGAAGCATCATTAAATTATACGAATAACATAAAAATAAAGATAATTACTTAAAAATTGAATTAGAATAATCAACGATATTTTAGCGAATATAGTTATATTACATGGTTAGCCTAGATGACAGATTACTATTTTTTTATTTTACTGCAAAATGGCAAGGTATTTATTAAAAAGAAAAAAAAAAGTTTAAAAAGATTTTGCGGTAAAATTCTAGTATACGGTAAGGCTTTGGCACGATTTTGAAAATTGTCGCCAAGACCAAAATGACCCGTTTACTGCGCATCATCATGTCGCCAAATCCCATTGTACCATACATGGAGATTATTCTAACCAAAGAACGTCTATGCAAAGAATCTCTGATTCTTTGGTCTATGTAAAGAAGAAAAGGTTCCATACAAGTAAAATGCTATTACGCCGCTAGAATGCGGAGGGAAAATATGCCAAGGGATTTGGCGACGGAACCTGGCGGCCAGAATTTCCCTCTCCGCGATGTGTACCGGAAATTGAGAAACGTGTTAAGAAGAAACGTTCTTTGACAAAAAGAAAGCTACGAAAATCCGTTTTTAAATTATTGCGAAAAGGAAATTTATAAAAGGAAAAGGAAAGAAAGGTTTTATCAAAGGACGTTTCTTCTTAGGATTTGTTCGCAATAATTTTAAAAACGGATGTTCGTAGTTTCCCCCCCCCTGAAAATTACTAACCCATGAATTAATTTACTTGCGCCAAAAAATATTTTCTTTTCCTTTAGAGTTTAACCACTTGCGCTAAGACTAAACTTCACGGTTGCGGTGCGGTGCCGTGCGCTACAATATAGCAAGCGGTAAAGTGTCTCATTTACGCCGCTCCGCATCTGCGAGTGCAATCCAGAGCTGTAACTCGAAAAATAAACAATCTCGTTGTTAGGCGACGTGTGCACCATGTTATTTTCATTTTTGCGATAAATGCTTGTCGACGTGGTGTTCACGTCGCTCGCAGTTTGAGACAAAAACATCTCGACATGCGTGGCACGTCTTTTTAGCGTAAGTGGTTAAAGAAATTTTAAAGGATATTCACTTAATGAACTCTTGATAACGTGACCTTCGAACTTCGACAGCGGTTTCGAGCTTTGGCAGCAGATATATCACGCATGCACAGCTGTTTCCCTCTATGATGGAATGAAGCCACGTCTGTTGCAGAGAGGTTTTCCTTCTTTACAATACATATTCTTTGATTCTAACCTCCATGGTACCGTATACTAAGATTAAACCCATTTTGCTCTCGTATAATTTTGTTTTATACGAGAACAGGTACTTTCTTCAGTTCATGCACTGCACATGCTATTCTCGAGAATACTGAAAACCAAAAGTTGCGGGAAACTTGCTTTGCCTTTCTAAAAGACAATCAAATTGGAGCTGCGAAAATTGGCTCTAATGCCAGCTGCCCGAATGACACTCACGTGATACGCAATTCGCCAAAAAAGTTATCTCTTCCAACGTCGGCGAAAAAATCGCTTTTTTTGGCGGGATCATTGTATGAACTTCCCTGACTTTTCCAGATTTTGACAAAAATACTTAAATTCCCTGACTTTTCCCTGAATTTTTTGGTCAATTTTCGAATTCCCTGACTTTTCCCGGTTCTCCCGGTTTTCCAGGTAGCGTGGCAACCCCTGGTAGCGTGGGGGTTGTAATTTTTTTCAGTTTAGATAAAGTAAAATTCTGGCATTGGTGTGATTTTAATTTTATAATGTTTTGTAAGCCAATGAAATTTTCGGGGGGGGGGCGGAGAGGAGAGTTTACTTCGGTGCTTGCACCATGCTAGAGTCCATTCCAATTCTGATTTTTGAGCTAAGAGGAAGAGGAGAAAAGAGTGGGGCGCTAAAAGTACTTGACCCCGTGCGGGTCTTGCTCTTGCGAGCGCCGGCTATTGAGTCGGATTTGGACAGATTTGAGTTGCAAAGCTGTAAAGCAGAAAAGAGAAAGTTCGGTGGGGTTTGCGCCTGTGGTCTGAGGTGAGGTTTCTCATGGCTTTCTGCTGATGAGAATTTGTTCGAATGGAGAAAGTGCTCTATGCAAAATTTAATTTCACCGTTTTATCGTGTATTTTGGAGAACTCCTTGAATAGTCATGTTTGAGACATTCCAGTTGAAGGAATTTGTCATGAGATATAGATTCCAGAAGGAGGTATCATGCACCCCTTGTTCCTTAAATCAATGGATGCTTCCGAAAGTATTTTGATAGAAAGAAAAAAAATGGTCTTTGCTCATTTCCCAGTGGATTGGATTGGATTGGACACTAAAGATTTTTCTGTTCGGAATTTGTCTCTCCTTAATGGACATATTTAAAGTGGTTCCTGGCTGAATGAAGAATTTGTATTTAATATCCTATACCAGTGATTCCTGAAATCATTGAACGCTTCTGAAAGTGTTTTGAAAAATTAATAAATAAATAAATAAATAAAAATTTGTCTTTGCTCATTTCCCAGTGGATTGGACACTAAAGATCCTTCAATCCGGAAAAACTGTCTTCCATCTGTGATATTTTTAAGATTATTTTCTTTTTTCTCTGTCTTCCCAAATGCCATGATGGTCTAGTTAATAACAATTTATCCATTATAGATAAATTTTATTATTATATAAATTAGATATCGCTAGCTGGTAATATTAAGAAGTGATTAGAAATTTTAAGGGAATGACCAGTTAATTTGAAGAGTTAAAATGTTACACCTTCTTAATTTGTGAAAAAAATTTTAATTATTAATTAAATGTTTTAATTATTGAAAGTTAAAATTTTGTGTGACATTATGTGTTACTTTTCATAGTAAAATATGTGGTAGGGGATACTGATCAGTTACCCAAGTATTTACTAATAATATTATTATATTCAAGAATTTAATAAATGTGTTTGATTTAGAATTTTAATTGCACTTGTTTATATGATATATGAATGTTCATATGATGATTATATATATACATATATATGAGTTTTTTGTCCGGCACCATGAGTAAATCAAATTTAAAAGTTTAAAAAGTCTCAAAACCCCTCATTTTCAGATATTCAACACAGTCGAGGCAGCATCTCATTGCTAAAACTCAGGTATGCAACACTTACATTAAAAAATAATAAGGAATTCAAATGATATGTCATCAATCAAATGTACTTTTAGGGCCAAAAAATCGTTTCCAAAAATCTACGGACTTTTAAAAACCATACAAATGCTGCCAGTTCTAGTATCATGACCTAACTGTGCTTTAAAACATCAGTAATGTACCTATTCTAATGTATAGTGTAATTTAGATTTTATTTTTAGTTTAATGTGTGCAAAATGCTGTTTTAACTTGATTACTGTGTACAAGAAACACATATAACAGTATGATGTAAAATTGATACTGAACACAGATATTTTTTTATAATACCAAAAATTAGTACCTTTCTCGCATGGAATGTAGACTTCTTTGCGGGAAAAATTCCCTCATTTTGCTCCAGTGATATCCAAATTTCTTAATGCAAGCTATCAGCATCTGTTTTTTATGAGAAATACATTGTAATAAGAAGAAAAAAAAATACACTAAGTTCCAGTTATTTTCTTATTTTAATAAACACTAAGACTATTAAGTTACTGTTTGATGTATAAGTAGCACAACAGAAAAACATAAGGAAATAATTTCTTTAAATAAAAATTTCAGTGCTAAAAATATGCAAAAGCATTTCATTAAATTTTTTAAAAAAAGAAGAGAAAAAGGAAGAAAATTAAATAAAAACCTGAAAACTTCAGAGTTTACATATTCCCCCAAAGGGGTGTTTTTTAATATTTCGTGTGTTACCTTTATTTATTAAATATCATGTTCTTTGCACTTCAACCATAAAATTCAATTCAAAAGCAATATCGCAAAATAATTTTTAAATGAGCATATCTTTAGAATTTCTGATACACAGTCTTGTGTGCTGGAGATAATTCCCCCCCCCCCGTACAGTGTTGCCATTTCTCACTTTGAAATCATTGAGTTTCTTTATCAAAAACTCATAAATGCTTTACAAAATATGAAATAGGTAATAAAATAAATTCCAAATTATGGCTTCCAGATATTCATATTCGGTGGAGGATTACGTTATTGAAAATTTGATGGCTCTAGGTACCATTGTTTTATCACAATGCGAGAAATATACATACATTTATACAGATTCTTCATTATTTAATTTTTGGTGTATGTTGTTGAAGTAAATCCACTTTTCATCACAAGTGACGACCCATTCCAGAATTTTGTCTTGGCATTGATATTCAAGCAGATCAGTGCAGGTCCGAACACATCTGTTCTTATCTGCTTGAGTGAGTTCATGTGACATCCAGCGATTGAACTCATATGTCAAGTTTATGCAGTGCATAGCACAACTAATGGGTATTGCAATAATGTCTTGACTCCTTAGCAAGCTCACGAGATACTGATCTTCTTCCACAAGTACTCGCAGTCGGGCCTCATCAACTTCAGTGCGCCAGCCAGAGCTCTCTGCTTCTTGAGTGTCCTTGTTTTTGAACTTTGGGTACCAAACCTTTACAGTGTCATATGATACAACATTAGTACCTAAAGTTGTACACATGATTTGCTGACATTCTGTTGCTGACTTTTTGCAACATAACTAGAAGTAAATGATGGTTCTAATCTGGTAGCATGATAATTCCATTTCAGACACCTTGTACATAATGATAACGATACTTTTTTTTTACAAATTTCACAATATAGTGATCTAAAGCAAGTCTCTTTCTTTAAAATGCCAAGAATTGTTTGACAAAATACGATTAAAAACAGCTTGTGAATGGCTTGCGTAGATGATATTTGTGGTGGCGGAAAACTTTCGTCAAAACCCGATATTCATATTGAAAAAATTCTGAATTTAAAAAAAAATTCATAAATAAAAGTTGGTAAGTATGTGCACCCCAGCAAAGTTTTTAATTATTTACCCTCACACATAATTTTAACAATTTTTTTTTTTTAATTTAGAACACATTTAAAACATAAAAAAGAAAAATGCAATCTTACTGCATCTTCTTGCGTGGTCCAAGGAGATCTGTTAACTTCTCTCGATATGCTTCTTTCATACCTATTTATTATCTGATGCCGCTTACGACCATCCATATAAAAACAAACTGAAACAAGAAGAAAATATCAAGTCAGTTAATCAAGACCAGCTTAGTATTTTGAAAATCAGTCTTTAATTATATCTAATTTAACTTTGCATGAAAGCTAAACATTGAAGTAATAAAAAAACATTAAAGAAAGCATGGTCAAACTCCATTATAATGAACTTTAAGAGACTAAAATTTTGATTTGCTATAATTTGAAGTTCATTATATTAATCTGATTTAAAAAAATTGTATTATTTTACAAAAACATATAAAAATTGAAAGGTGAAACATTAAAAAAAAAATCCCAAATCATACTTTCATACCTACCAAAAAATGACTAATAAATACATTTTAAAAAATATCTAAGATTTACTTACAATTACATTAAAAACTCAACTATTTAAAAATCTAGGGAAATGACGGATATCTGAAAATTCTGGATAGTTAAGAGTATAAAAAACACAATTCATTGTAGGAAAGCAAAATGAGTGAAAGAAATGTCCAGTCTAAAATTTTAAAAAGAATAATCTTATTTTTATTAACTTGAATATTAAAAGCCTATGTTTAAAATTATTTAATATTTCATAAAGTATGCATTTCAAACATAAAAGACATATTTCACAGGCCTTCTTAATTTCATGAAAGTAAAACATCTTATCCAATTATGAAATTTCATTGACTAGTTACAAGTCTCTCATTTGTTTTAACTTAAAGCAAAAAAAAAAAAAGTTTCTAATATTCTATAATATTCCAGTTAGATTACAGCTGGACAGTTATGTTTTTACTATATTATTGCATGTTTTATTAAATTTATTTGTTGTTCTTTTCCAGCTTCACTATGCATTAATAATTTTACAAGATAAATTAACATAACATAAAACTAACAAATATCATAGCTCTGATCCTTCCTTTGAAATGCCCATTTATAACTGTGAATAACTATTTTATCCATAAAAATATGAATACACTAAAATGAATAAAAAAAAATGATGAATTAACTTTAACTTTTGGTTAAGGGTAAAAAAGAGTCTAATTTTTCATATGCATGCTGCAGACAGCAGAAACATTTTATTAATATTTCTGAGCCAAAATTAACATCATTTTTAATCCTACAGTTAAATAATAATAATAATAAAATTTATTAATAACCCAGATCACAGCCTTGGCATGCACTTTCATAGAGACTTCATTTTCTGAGTGTTGCATTTCTTCAACATTTTCAATAGCATCAGGAAAAAGTCTTTGGCATCAGCATTTCTCATTTTAATTTTGTTGCAATATCTTACTCACTTGGATATTTGCATGTAAGAACATTATCACTGCATGATTGAAAAAATACTCTATATAATATTCTGAAAGTACTGAAATGCCATTTCTTCCCTCTGACCACTTAGAAATAGGCAAATCCCCACTGTCATCTTCCTATTCAACATACTTTGCTAAACTGCACACCAAAACAGGGTTCGTACACATTTCTGCACACGGAAATTAAGTACTTTTAAAGACTTTTAAGGACCATTAATGAAAAAAATTACGGACATATGAGCAAATGGGAACTGAATAAAATTCAATTAAAAATATTATCTATGCCTGAATTTCCCTTTTGTAATACCATCCTAAAAATAAAATAGATTCCTAAGTAGTATGCATTATTCCTAAACATGAATTAATTAACATAATTACTAATAAGTTTGAGAATAAAATAAATGTTAAGCAATTTATCAAGTAGCATTAAATATTTTACACTTACAATAGTTAAGACATATCTGAAAGAAGATAAATGACATTTACGTTTTACTAACAGTCAGCTTTATGTTGATTTTTTTTTTATTTCTCATTTTCTCACATACTTAGTCAGTCTAGAAATTTAGTAAATAGCAGGTAGATTTTATCTCAAACAGCATAGGTTAAAATGAGAAGTAAGATCATAATTAGCATGATTCATAACAAAAGACTGAATATTGTCACTGCTTGTCTAGAGAGAGACCTGCTGATTAGAACAAACCTGAAAGGCCTGTTGTAAGCACAGTTGGCAAGTTCTGAAAGTGTTGTTGTTACAAAACATTTATGTCTTGTAACAACCACACTCAACAAAATATTTATGCATCATTTTAATCTGAAACTTTCCCAGACATTTTGGCAAATTTTTATCGATTTCCTTCTCTTTAACCATCGTTTCTAACAATCAGAAATTTGTCTCAATACGCAAACCAATGCTCTGACTATTTTCTGCATGCTTTATCTGCTAACTTGTCAACCTCTTCACAATGTACCTATGAGGGTTTACTTGATCTGGTAAAAGTTAAATAGTCCCAAACCCTCAGAGAGATGTGAAGCATATTATCGCTTCTGAAAATAACTACAATATCAGACAAAGGTTTAAATAAGCCTCATTCTTAAAAAGAAGTTTGAACATAAAAGCATGTTCTAATGCTAACAAAATCAATTGCATCTCACGGTGATGTAATTAAACAAGAATAGTCAAATTCGAACTAAAAATGTGGAGTAGTGGTCAGAGATTATACAATTTATTTTAATTTAATCTGGCTCAATAACTCTATCATATGAGGAAACAGAAATGGGAAAATATAGTAAAGGCTGAAATCATAAACAGTTGGGTAATTTACATAATAATAACTGCACATATCTTTGAAGAATAATTTTCTTTATGTATTCAGTTTCTTTCTTCAACACGTTTCCTTTTCATTTTTGAATTTTTGAATTTAATTAAGGATTTCTGTTATTCTAAAAAACACTAAATGCATTTAGAATGTATAGAAAAAGCGGCTAATTTTATTTCTTTAGTAATACAAACATTCAGAAGAAATATGAAGTATATATGGTAAAAACTGGTTACAGAGCTGATGTGGCAGAATTTTTAGAATTTAGAGCAGGCATTGGAAGCAGAATTTAGAAAGTCACGAGGCAGCAGAATTTAGGATCCACAGAGATTGCATCAGGTGGGAAAATGCCTAGTGTATAACCTATGTGTATAACACATTAAAACATATTAGATGAATCTTTTAAATTATAAGTTTTCAATATCTTTATTAATAAAAAAATCCCTTTCCATAATGCCTCTCATGTGATAAGATTAGAAGCATTTTTGATATTTTCCATGCTTGAGTCTAGTGAAAAGTAGAGAAAATAAAGGGTACATAAATAAAGACTTAGTATCAGAAGTAAAACATCAATATTATGTTCATTGTTTTCAGAGTTCTCAAAGTAAATATTGAACTTTCTCTAAAAAAATCTTTATCCACGCATGCGCATCTGTAATGTGATGATCATAACGAGTTTGAGAATCGCCATCGACGGTGTAAGAGGGCTGGTCACAGCTATGAGTTAATTGTAATTAATTATGAGAATTAATAAAGAATCGAACCAGCGAATTTATTTAGTGTGTGTTATTTGGGACGAGACCCAAACATATCTGGTCGTAGTCGACCGGAGTGTGAGTTTGTGCATGAATAAGTAGTGTTTCGTTTTTGAGAACACAGGAGTGTTTGTGTTTGCCAGTATTCGCAGCTTGTTCTTTTCAACGAATATCGCTGATTTTGGATACGGATATTCATCAAAAGTGAATCACTGCAGAGGTAAGTGATTCCTCTCTTGTTAATTCTGTACTTTCTTTCTGTGCTTGTTCTGTTATAAATAACAATGTTATTTAAGGGTGCTAAAAAAGAAGATTTAAGGCTTATTGCCTTAGAAATAAATCTAAATGTTGACGAAAAAATGACTATAGCAGATTTGACTGATATTATTGAGAATAGTGAAATTTTTAAAACTAAACAAGATTTAGTAAAAGAGATAGCAAACTCTATTATCGAAAATAGAAAACAGGAAGAGCAAAAACTTGTCGAGTTAGAAAAAATAAAACTTGAGAGATCAAAGAATGAGTTAGAGTTGGCTAAGCTTAAAGCAGAAACTAAACTTGATGGTGTAAGCGAAACCGAAACAAAATCAGAGTCACTAGATCAATTAATAAAAAGTATCAGAACCTTAACTGTAAAAATTCCTATACGGCCTGAGAGTTGGGGATTTTTCTTTTCGTCATTAGAACGAGCGTTTATTACAAAAAATGTTTCGGAGGACTATAAAGCAGAAATTCTGTTAAATCTGTTAGGAGACAAAGCTTCGAATATAATAACCTATTTACATGATAAGGATATCGCGAATTATGAAAAAGTAAAAGAAGTAGTTCTGAAGGAGTTTCAGCCAACACCATATTCGTGTTTAGAAAACTTTAGAAAAACTGTTAAACAACCACATGAAACTCATGTGCAGTTTGCTTCTCGCTTAGTAACTGCTGGGATTATTATTTAAAATTAAGGAAGGTAACTGACTTCGAGACCCTCAAACAACTAATAGTTTCAGATAGGTTATACCAATCTTTAGATACGGGAACAGCTTCTCACATTGCAGTGAGGCAAGGTGATTCATGGTTTTCACCTAGTGAGTTAGGTAAAGAAATAGATTTATATTTCACGTCACGAGGAAAACCTCTTACTGAGAATTCTCATGTTAATCGTAAGTATAATAGCTCAAAAAGTGTAGCTAAAGTGTTTTTATCAGATGTTAAAACAGAGAACTGTATTTTATGCCACGAGAATCACGGATTGGCAAAATGCCCATCGTATTTAAAATTACCGGTACAAGAAAGAGTACAGGTTGTGAAATCTAATAAATTATGTTTTAACTGTCTACATATGCATTCAGTATCAAATTGCCCATCGAAATATTCTTGTTTTTGTCAAAAACGGCACCACAAAACTATTCACTTTCCGAAAGCAAATAATATCGTAAAGGAGAAAGAATGTTCTTCATCGGAACAAAATAAAAACAAAACAAATGTATCTGACTGCAACATTCCCAAACGAGATGACTCATCGACCTTGAATGTTAATGCGCAGGAGTTCGTTCAAAAGACATTAGCAATTATTCGAATAAACAGAGTACAGTTCTGCTTTCAACAGTCGTATGTTTTCTAATTGATAACGAGGGGAAAAAACACAGAGTGA